ATATGTCACATCCGAAATCACCTGATTACCAGCTTGAGTTAAGGAATCTGTCTCGTGTGATGCTGCATGACATCAGAACGTGTAATGTGGTGTAAACATCAATTCGCTGACACAAATCTTTCTGCATGGACTGATCGCATAGAACTGATGCATTTTCTAATACTGGATTTTGACACATTGAAGAGTGTGGACAGGACTCGACTACATTCTCCTCCTCTGATACTAGTATTCATTAAAAATATCGCTAAAAATGTCCTCACATATTTTGCTGGAGTGAGTAGAAATTATTCTTCAATGTATTGTTACAAGTACGTCTTTAAACGAGTCCTTGGAAATCCCCACGAGGTTCACATATTTATTCATCGTCATTAAAATCAAGTTTAATTTTCTCTCTGGCCAGAACCTTGACCAGTTTAGCTATTGTTGTTTTATTAACAGTTGTTGACAGTATTGTAAAGAAGAATGCTTTACTCTTTTTAGCGGAGGTTCAGGGTCCACATCTTTATCTAATAAATAATGTACGATCATCTCATATTGCTTCAAGTCCATGGAAATCCGCTTTTTAAACCCTTGTAGAAGTTCAAACTCCTTAGACATTGTGGCTTGGTCATTAGAGTCTGTATGACTCTCGAAGGCCTCCATTTTAGGACGTCTTTCAGTTTTCTGTCGGGGGCCTCAAAACGGAAGGTATAGAATAGAATTTAATTATATAGTGTCATCGAATGAAATATAAGACAGGTTAAATAATCAATCAAATATGTTCATACATTGTCTCTGTAACGATGTTCATTAAAACAATATGGCCAGTGTGTAACAAAAATTGTCGAAATTCAGTTGCTTTCCATCTTTCAACCTAAAACCTTTATCTTGGTTGTCGAGGAAACTCACTATGTAGTTTAACAAATTAGCTGGATGTTATGTTCAATCAAAGGGCTTGGGTTGGTGATTATCATAAGCAACCAATGAAAACTCGGCATCTGCCCTTAAAGAACATTCAACCTTTGAATACAAAGTATTTTGGTTATTTTTTTTTTCAGTATCGAACTATAAAACTTTCCATGGCTGACAATCTACTAATTTTAGTCCTGTTCTTGGCATTATGTGGTACTTTTGGCATAAAATTGATTGAATCATTTGATTTTTATTACTTTATATAATGTCATGTGTTTCCAAAATTTAGAGCTTTCTCGACTCTCCCGCAAAAGAGCGTTAATAAGTTTGATAACTGCAAGGTACAGGTAATATTACATATTAGTAATGCAATAAAGCACAGTGTTATACCTCAGCGAGCTCTTGCATAACATATACATTAAAAACATTCCTTTGACCGGAAGTTTAAATGTTAAAACAGTAATATACTAAAATTGTGCAAAGATTGGTTCAACACTTAATCTAAACCAGAAGTCTCTGTAGAGACGGTAGCTCTACTGGTTTATACATAAAACAAAGGAAGAGAAAAGTAGTAGCTGGGACTTGAAATTTTAAAATAGCAATTAATAGAAAAATGGTCTTTGCAACTTATCAAAATAAAAACCAATACACAGAATAATGTATCTTAGTATAGCCTACTTGTGTGCCAAGTTATACTGAAATCAGACAAAAACCGTAGGAGGAGTAGCATTTTGAAAGAATTTCACAGAAATTTCTATTTGTAGTAACCATGGCAACATCGTTTATCGAAATCCAAAACCGATGCACAGATTTTTGTACCTTAGTATAGCCTACTTGTGTGCCAAGGAAAAATGAAATCAGACCAAAACTGGAGGAGGAGTAGCATTTAGAAAGAATTTCACAGAAAGGACAAGTTAGAGTAACAGCCGAATTTTTGATATAAAAATCAGAACACTGATAAAACTGTGATAGTTTGTAGTTAAGAAGTTAAAATGATGCTTACTTTAAGACAAGCACTAATTTTGATTCAAAGGCTACATGGAAGCCACTAGAGGGTTCAGAAATAGGACATTTTCCCGAATTTCCTCAATTCTGGTGGATTTTCATCATATTTTGGGTACATTTCTCTTCGGTAAACATAGAGCACACGCTTGCCTATCTGAGATTTTTACACATATACTGCATCTGATATCAGTGTATAAAATATATAAATTTGGTAGATAGGCAAGCGTGTGCTCTATGTTTTCCAAAAGAAAATGTGCTGTAAAATTAGTGAAAATTTGCATAAAAATGAGAAATTTCGAAAATTGACCTATTTCCTGACCTCACTGTGACCTCTGTATATTCTTAATCTTAAAACCAGTACTCATTTTGTGGCAGGGGTGAAAACAGGTTTTCATGGATAAACTGTTGGATCATTCTGAAAGACACCCAAAATCGGGGGCCAAATACTGGTCTTACCCTATCTTGTCCTTTCTATTTTTAGTAACCATGGCAACATCGTTCATCGAAATCTAAAAACTGATGCACAGAATTATGTACCTTAGAGTTTTCTATTTGTGTGCCAAGTTTTACTGAAATTGGACCAAAACTGTAGGAGGGTAGCATTTTGAAAGAATGTCACAAAATTTTTTTTTAGTAACGTTGGCTACACCGTTTAATCCAAAACCGATGCACAAAATTATGTAACTTAGTGAAGTCTACTTGTGTACAAAGTTATATTGAAATCAAACGCAAACTGTAGGAGAAGTAGATTTTGAAAGAATTTCACAGAAATTTCTATTTCTAGTAACCATGACAACATCGTTCATCGAAATCCAAATCCGATGTACAGAATTATGTATATTAGTGTAGTCTACTTGTGTGCCAAGTTATATTGAAATCGGACCAAAACTGTAGGAGGAGTAGCATTTTGAAAAATTGTTAACAGACAGACGGACGCATTACTATCGCATAAGCTCTTCTGGTCTCTGACCAATTTGTTGATTTTAGTCAACCAATCAGAAAGTTGGAACTCTTCAATTTTAAAAATATATTTATTACTTTGCAATTTATGGTGAATATTTTGACACTCGTTAAAACGTACCAAGTTTAATTGAAACATGATAGTCAATTTCTACATGTCATTGATATTAATATCCGTCAAATATTATATGAGTACCACTTTCTAACTGCAAAATGCAACATATTTTACATGTTTTTGCAATGCTGAACATGCATAATTAACGTGAACTGTCATTCGTACGCTGTTTCGCATCGCGACTCTGTAATGTGGACAATTAAATGACCCATGCATATTTAATTACATACGAAGATTTTTCATCAAGTTTGCCCACGGTTGATAAGTAAAGATAAGATCACCCGTTGGTTTCCGATGATGTTACAATGCATAAAAGCATTGTACCAAAAACCTTAATCATTGCAGTAATCAACAGATTTAATTTAGAGGAACATCTATCATTCATTGCAATTTATCATATCAAAAAGCAATGAGATATACAAATGCAAAGGGCACACACTAATAATACCATGAAACAATTAATGAAAAACCAGTATAGAATGCACAAGAAAAAATTCAGTTTCACCAGCTATAACCAATGTATTGAAAAATAGTTGCTTAATAACAAATAGATATCTCATTTTATAAAGTATAAGTAAAATCGCATTTCATCATATTTATACCTTTCCAATACTTTTAACTTATGATATTAATTAAGACATACCACAGTCTGCTGGCTAAGCTTTACTGTCCCATCCTCCAGCATAGTGTACTTTACGATTAAAAAAGCTTTCATCTTCCTCAACATCTTTATGTGCTTTTCGTGGATGATGACCTGCTTAAGTGTCTGATAGTTACTGTCACTAGACACCATTCACATCGTGCCGTAGGACTGCTCACCATTAGCACATTTTCTGGTTACCACTTCTTCCAAAACAAACATAGTCATGGGTTTGGGACCCTACAAAACAAAACTAATTATTAATTCCAGCAAATAACGAGATTCCACCAAACTATAAAATTATTTATGTTCTGTATACATATTAATCCCAGATACATGTAAAAAAAAAAAGAAAAAAAAACAGTATTCTCTTATATTTAGGTTTACAAACATCAGAATGAAAAACTCCAGTAAAAGGAAGAAATTAAAAATAGAAAAAAAATTATTTTTCCTGGATACATTATCGACTTTCCTACATTAATTTTTAATTAATTAATAAAAAAGCGTGGGGCTGGTCAAATCCGTCCTTGGATGAAAAGTATAGTCAACCACACATACTTGGTAGCAGCGTCAAGTGGAAACAATGGGCAAATGAAGGTTGACAAATGGAAATCTATTAGCAACCATCTTATCAATGTCTATAAACATGATTCTGAGGTCTTTCCACGGTGTGAACATGACCAGCTAAATGAACCTAGAGACTGGATGCAGGAAGGTCATTATCCAATTAAATCTATTTTCTTTTATTTTATAACTGTAACACATTCCAAAAATTTCGCATTTTTTTCCATTCTAGGCTCTTGATGCCACAAGATGGTAAAAGATGTTGTGGAGAGTCCCTATCTCCTTAGAGATCTTCCAAAACTGTCACCTGTTGACCAGACATATGGACTTGAAGTTTTTCACTCTGTGGTGTATCATTTCGCACCAAAGAGTACACACTTCTTTTACATGCCAATGCTTGCAAGGTTTGTAGCCTTTCTTTTTTAATACATTCATAGTTCTATAGATTAAAGTAAAAAAGTCTTTAAAAATTTTATATATTATTCATTTTCAACAGGTTGTGTATTGCTGCATTTCATTACAATGTAAACGGAACTAGACGTCAGTAAATAACAAGAGAGGGTGAACTACAGTGGAGTGTATCCTACCCAAAGGCGAAGAAAGGGCAGGAATGTGTAGTAAAACCTCGCAGAGTGCCTGCAACCTTTGGTAAATAAGTTAAAAGAAGTGACTAACAAATGCTATAGCATAATTTCACATATATAAATATCTATTGAATCTATAATGAAATAATAAAACAATCACTAAGTGTTTCATGTATTTGCTTTCCTTATAAGATTTTCATTCTTATACTAGTATTCTCTTGATTCCACAGAATATGTCGGAAAATTGCTGGAAAAGATTTTTGTTAGAAGAAGACACTATCCTTCCTTAAAATTTGCCTAAGATGATTTTGTGTTTGGTCATAAAGCTGAAGAACCACGTCCACTGACTCATGAGTATGAAGACTTTGACAAAAATGAACTGATTAACAGAAGAACATCTAGATACAACAGATAAATTTGGTGGGAATGTGAAAGTTTAAAATGTGTTGTGTTTCAAAATGGAAATGTGTTGTGCATCAAAAAAAGATTGATAGGTGGACATCATATCATTATTTTCATAAATGTGGATATTTGAAACCAGCATACGACTCAGATGGAAATGTCTGTCTGATTTTGGATACCACACAAGCTGGGATAATTTTTCGTCTCTTTTTCCCTAGGATATGCCAGATCCAACGAGTGAATCTTCTGTAGGCCAAGTATCTATATAATCTGTAATATAAAATTAACCATGGAGAAAATACTATATCATAATTTACTTGACATGTTTCAAGGAAAAAATCAAAAACTTTTATAAGAAAAGTTATTTGTATACATTATCTTACTCATGTATTGGCTCGTTGTCATCAAGGGGCCCATCGGTGTCTACAAACTCATACATGGAGACTTCCAGGGCGTCAATATTGAGGCAATTTCCCTGAAACCCATCATGTTCTGTGATACACTTTAACTCCTTTACTTCTACTTTTTCCAAAATGGGTGCAATTTCATGGCAGCATAAACATTCTTCATTTGTTTCCATTACTTGGCACCTTTCACAGTCACACCTTGTAATGTAAATCAAATTATATATTTACTGTTCATATATGAAATATATATATTAATAATGCTAATAATGAAAAGGTGAATAAAAGTTTTCATCTCTGTAATATAAACTAGTAAAATATTTGTTTTATTTTCATACCATGCTAAATTCTCCCTGCGGGTTCCAATTACCCCTACTGCATTTTCCTCCTTCAAATCACCTCCCTCTGAATCTTCAGATTTACTTCTATTGCTGTCTTGAGTTTGATTTAATAAAGGCTCAAAATTATAGGGTCTAATTTCTTTAGGAGCAAGGGAAAATCCATCTGACGAGTCTTCTTCCATTGTTTTGTTTAAGATAAAGCGAGAATTTGCAGGAAGCTCACATCTGACGTAAAAAGGGCCCACGTGACTCTTATCTCATTAATTGTCGGCGTTGCTCGGAGAACTGCATCGGTTGGTATATATAGATTACTACATCAAGCTGTGCCTTGTTATCTGATGCTTGTTTAACAAATTCAGTGTGAGAATCTGACTTAAGAATGCTAAGGACATTGAATGCAGACAAAATATTTTTTATGTCCTGTGTCCTTTAAATTGCAACAGGTGTTAAAACGCTTAGAAAAAATCAAAATTTTGAGATGAATCCTGCAACACCTAATTTGTGTAGCAGTGATTCGTAATTGGAAACCTAACTACCTACAACTTTATAGCTAATAAAATTATTCCCTGATTAAGAAATTGTATGACGCTTTCGGTACCTTTAGACACAATTTTATTAAACATCTGTACACCGTTCCATTCGCCTTGGAGTAATACAGCATGACAGGTTAAGTTAAGCTAAGAATTGGACCTTGATGAGAAGAATATAGAATATTTATCTGATGTGGTTCGTTTATGGGGGCGATTCGTTATTTACAACCTCACTGTATCAAATCTTTCATCATCTGTATGAACATGCATATTTTGTATACTTGATTTTATCTTGTCTGTGTCTATGGGACATTCCGTGTGAATTTTCTGGAGAGTCATCAGAGGGAACTGTTTCTGTTGCTGATAGTGTAGACATTACATCGATTTCACGTATTTCTTTTGCATCAAAGTCCGTCATTTCAGACTCAGAATCTATAAATGGTTTGTCAAAGTCAGTGTTGAAATCTTCTTCCAGTGAAAATGAAGTAAATTACCTTGTCTGTTGATAAAAATCAAATCAGGGTCAGTGCTTTCCTCAATTTTCTTTGGTCATTTATAACACATTTCCAAGATATTTTGACCACAGCCGGTTTAAAATTGGCCAATTTTCACTGGGGTTATGTACAACCCCCAATTGTCGGTATATTTCTCAACTCCTTGAAAATGTTTCGTTCTGATATTTCCATAAATGCATGTATTTTAGCAGCTAAAAGGCATTACTTCTGTTCTTATTGCATTCCACTTGTTGCAGACATGCCTTCCCTTTTCATCCGAAAGGTGTAATTTGGAATTTCAGAGGTAAAAGCGTAATCAATCATATTTTTCTGTTTTGTTTTACTATATAATATTTAACTTTCTTTCAAAATTACCGACATCTTAAATTACTGAACAAAGCTGGAATTAACTTCTCTTTTTATACGCCCGTCTTCAGACGGGACGTATTATGTAAAAGGCTTCGTGTCCGTCCGTCTGTCTGTCTGTTAGCTTTTTCGTTTCCGGCTCATAACTTTAATACTATGAGGCCTAAGATTATCAAACTTTGTCATCTGATGCGTCTTGGTTAGAAGGTGTGTCGCCCACAAAAATCATGTCGCTCTGACCTTAAATTAAGAAGTTATAGCCAAATATGGAAAAATCCATATGAGTGTCATGGTTTATTTTACAATGACCTTGACCTTTTAACATTGGAAAAAAATGTAAGATTTACTTAAGGTTTCGTCAAAGGTCAACATGTCTAAAATATTTTTTTTACAATTACTCCAAAACTATGTGTGGTATGAAGTCAAAACGTTTACATTTTGTAAATATATCACTGATTAATAGATAGAAAGAATTACTTGATAACAAATATTCATAAAGATATTTTTTGAGAAAAATTTTATCAGAATACGTGCACATTTTCAAAAAAAAATGCACCTACTTTATTTTGTCCTTTTTGTGAAAACCAACATTGTAGAAATAATCTATATTTAATATTAAACGGCAAGTTAGACATGAATGGTCTCTGAAAAGCTGTTATTAAAATCATGACAAGTATAAAGACAAGACCCCTATAGAATCCGCCATTTGCAGTGTACTTTCACTTTCAAGTCTTAACATTTGGACAAAATAAACAAGGAAAACAACTTTCCAGAGGCTATCAAAGTCCAACTTGCTCTTCATTGATAAACACATTTTGTTTCTGCAATGATGGTTTTGTTTCTGCAATGATGGTTTTCACTAAATGCATAGAATCAATTAGGTGTATTTTTTTGAAATTATATGCATTTTTAAGAAGAATTTTTCTCAATAAATATTATTCCAAGTATTTTTTTTATCAAGTGATACTTTCTATCTGTTAACCAATAAATAAGTTATAAACTGTAAAAGTTTTAACTGTATACATTACATAGTTTTGAGGCTATTGTAAAAATAAAATGTTCGACATGATGACCTTTGACGAAACCTTAAAAACAGCAAAATACATTGTATATTTGAATAAAATTAGAATTAGATCATCTATCCAAAATACTTTCACTACAATAATTCTCAGTGATCAATACAAACGTCTGTGTTTCTACTTTTACAAATCTGAGCCTTATTCAACATCCTTGCAGCCAAATATACCTGCTGTGCTAGGTAAAAAACATGTCGCCTTTAATTTCTAGAATCCTTGAGTAAATATTTTTACAATACAATCAGTATACAATAATTCACTTTTGATGAGGTCTTCTCATGAATATACTGACCTGATCAGGTATTTGTTGACCAAGGCCAAACACTTAGAGTAATCAATACCTTACCAGATCCATATACAGTAAAACACGGTTATAGCAAAGTCTTTGGGACATGTGAATTTAATTCTTTATATCCGTAATTCGTTATATCCGTATAACAAATTTGTATAACAAATATATAGCAAATTCGCAATATGCATGTTTTCCTTTGAGTAGGATATGGAAATAACGAACAGAATCCAATCTCAACGTCCATTAAACAAATATACATAACAAGAGCAGAGCAAACACGGACCTCCGAAACATCAGAGGTGGGATCAGGTGCCATGGGTGTTACTATTAAATATGTTAGGTAAGCAAATTTAACAAAACATACCTTCGATAACTAAGGTTTTATTATGAATTAAATTTTATATACAAATACTGAGAGAAAATAGTTATTTCAATTATTCAAATTTTATAATTTTTTTGAGTTTGTTATAAAAGATGTAAAATTCATCATATTTAAGTCAACGACAATTGACATGCATATTAGTATTATTGTTTATTAAATAATTTTGATATTATTTCCAGGAATTTATTTAATTTAACTTATTTATATTTCAGCAGTTTATGATTTATTTAAGGTATATTATACTTTAGAAGCTTTAGAATTATTAAGAAATTAATTAAGAATTATTTAGATATAAGTTTCCCTTATACTTATTTTAGTTATAAACTTTGAGAGGTCAGTGACCTATGAAGTGACCTGTGAATGTGATTTCATTGGTCAAGGTTTTGGAGGGAAATCTCTTTTTGGTCAGTGAGTTATTTTTGGGTAGAACTGGTTATACCAGTCTTTGTGTCCAAGGGGACAAGGTGTACATGTTTGGTGATTCCTGAGTGTACAACTATTTTGGTTATTCACTATATCTACATTTTCATCGAGGGTGTATTTCAAGGATCTCAGGTCTGTTCTTTATATTAGTTTGTAGGATTGTGATTTTGATTGTGTGAAAGTGAGTGAAAAAGGTGTTAGAATGGCGAGTGTAAGTTTGAGAGTTTGTGTGCTAGTATAAGTGAGTAACATATATATTTTATCTGACATTTCACTCTAGTTCAGGCATGAAATTGTATATATTTAGCACTGAGTGAAATTAATAAATAAGCCCAAAGTGGTTAAACTAGTTTTGTAAATAACTTGTATAACCGTAATGTTGATTATCATATAATTAGGAATTTTATCTTTTAATTCATATAATTTAAATAATCCTTTCTAATTAAAGCATAGGTATTTTTCATTAAATTAATCAGTTATCATTATTAAAGATTTTTATATCAGCTAAGGGAGATTACTCATTTTTATGCATTCTTTATATAGGACTGAAACAGCTACATGTATTAGCTACTAGTACAGTATGTAATAACATCCAGACCTTTTGACCATATTGAAGGTAATTTATGTGTTTTATGTTTGCGTTGTTCTATTATATGTGTGTGTTGACAGAACTTTATTTTGAGTATTTGTCTTGCATGTTTATATTTTGTGTTGAATTGAATTTCATGTGTATTCAGTCCAATGCATGAAATTGTATTTTTGTAGATGTTCAGTAATATTATTTGATTCTGAATTATTTGATATCCGATGATGATTATGATAAATTATTATGATTTTGTTTTATTTTAAATTACTAAATTGTCAAGGAATTATTTTTATGATGAATTGATCTGTGATAAATAACTGGTAATTATTTTTATATTTAAATTTAATACAAAGAGAATATGAACTATAAAGTATGAATTATAATGATAACAAATACTGTATTGCAGTTTAATGTATATTTTTTTTATCTTGTCTAATATAAAATTGTTATTGTTATTACAGGGTCTACTTATACTTGTACTATTAATAAAATCATCTAAACCAGAAATGATGTTATCCTTCCAAGAACCCTATTACATTTTTGGCGCCCAACGGAAAACCCAAACGTAGATGTTTCAACTACTCAGTCCTTGATCATCTCATTTATCTGATGTCGACTGGTATTTAGATCGGGATCGGAATTCACCCCACAGCGGAAAGTGAAAGTAACGTGTGTATCCCACCTGGGGAGTTGACAACTTGTGTTTTCCTACTGTTCAACGCTGGAATAATTCTTTTCGTCGTCGATATTCACCTCCAAATGGATCAAGGGATCAAGACATTCCGATGTTCTACTTCTGGTAAATATACTAAGCTGTAGTGCGATATTTACATGTAGAATTGATCTTTGCGTACGCATGTTCTGAACCAGACAGAATTCATCGTCGTCAAAGTGCACTTGTGACACTTGTGTCAACGATTTGTGTTTACGTTTGTTATCTAAGCCTAGACAAACTTACTGTATGCATACAATTACTTGCTATTCTGCAGAAACATTATTGTGTGTTATTTGACTCTTATAGACAATATGGTAA